GTCACTCGGTGCTGTGGTTACTCAGTGCCACGGTCACTCGGTGCCACGGTCACTCGGTGCTGTGGTTACTCAGTGCCACGGTCACTCGGTGCTGCGGTCACTCGGTGCCGCGGTCACTCGGTGCTGCGGTCACTCGGTGCCGTGGTCACTCGGTGCTGCGGTCACTCGGTGCCGCGGTCACTCGGTGCTGTGGTTACTCAGTGCCACGGTCACTCGGTGCTGCGGTCACTTGGTGCCACGGTCACTCGGTGCCACGGTCACTCGGTGCTGCGGTCACTCGGTGCCACCGTCACTCAGTACCATGGTACCTTGGCACGGTGGTCACTCAGTGCCGTGGTAGCTCAGTGCCATGGTCACTCAGTACCATGGTCACTCAGTGCCATGGTCACTCGGCACCGTGGTCAGTCAGCACCGTGGTCACTCAGGACCGTGGTCACTCAGCACCGTGGTCACTCAGCACCGTGGTCACTCAGTGCCACAGTCACTCGGCGCCGTGGTCACTCGGCGCCGTGGTCACTCAGCACTGTGGTCACTCGGCACCGTGGTCACTCGGTGCTGTGGTCACTCAGCACCGTGGTCACTCAACACCGTGGTCACTCGGCACCGTGGTCACTCAGTACCATGGTCACTCGGTGCTGTGGTCACTCAGCACCGTGGTCACTCAGTGCCACAGTCACTTGGCGCCGTGGTCACTCAGCACCGTGGTCACTCAACACCGTGGTCACTCGGCACCGTGGTCACTCAGCACCGTGGTCACTCCACCACACCACCCCCGTGTCCCCCATAGTTTAACCACCAGAGCAAAGAATCAGGTGTCGAGTAGCGAATTGTCCCCACTCCCCTTTTTTTTGGGTGAAAACCCCCCAAAATCCCAGTTCCCCAGAGCCCCTCTGAGGATGGATCAGGGTGCAGGGGGGGATTGTGGGGGGCTGTGAGCTCTTGGGGGGCTCCGGCAGCTCCCGGTGACCCCCCGCTCCCGTCCCCAGCACGCGCTCCGGCTCGCCGCCTTCGGCCAGCTCCACAAAGTCCTGGGCATGGATCCCCTGCCCTCCAAAATGCCCAAAAAACCAAAGAACGAGAACCCAGTGGATTACACCGGTACGTAACCGCCCCTCAGCCCCCTCCCCATCGAGGATTTGGGTGGAAATCAGGGGATTTAGGGAGCGCTCGTGCTCGTTGCTGCAGTTCAGATCCCGCCCAGCACCACGTACGCCGTCACCCCCATGAAGCGGCCGATGGAGGAGGACGGGGAGGAGAAATCTCCCAGCAAAAAGAAAAAGAAGATTCAGAAAAAAGGTATTGAGTTAACGAGAGGTAGGTACGGCCCGTGGGGAGGGGGGAAATGGGGGTGGGAGTTGGGGGGCTCAGGTGAAGGATTGGGGGGTTTTTGGGGATGGTGAAAATAACTTGAAGTTGGGAGATTTGTGCTGGGCAGAGCTGAAAGTAAGGAGGAAAAAGATCAGGGTTTGTCTGGAATGGGAAAAAAACTGATGGGAGATGGATTGAAATGGGAAAAGATCAGTCAGAACTGGTCTGGAATGGGAAAAGACGGATTGGAACTGGTCTGGAAAGGGAAAAGGCCAATGGGAATTGGTCTGGAGCTGGAAAAGACCAATGGGAATTGGTGTGGAATGGGAAAAGATCAATGGGAATTGGTCTGGAGCTGGGAAAGGTCAATGGGAATTGGTCTGGAAGGGGAAAAGGTCAATGGGAATTGGTGTGGAATGGGAAAAAGCCAATGGGAATTGGTCTGGAAGGGGAAAAGGTCAATGGGAATTGGTCTGGAGCTGGAAAAGGTCAATGGGAATTGGTCTGGAGCTGGAAAAGACCAATGGGAATTGGTGTGGAATGGGAAAAGACCAATGGGAATTGGTCTGGAATGGGAAAAAGCCAATGGGAATTGGTCTGGAATGGGAAAAGGTCAATGGGAATTGGTCTGGAAGGGGAAAAGGCCAATGGGAATTGGTCTGGAATGGGAAAAGGCCGATGGGAATTGGTCTAAAAAGAGAAAAGACCAGTTGGAACTTGTCTGCAATCAGAAAATACCGGTCAGGACCGGTCTAAAATGGAAAAAGACTGGTCAGAACTGATCTACAGTTGGAAAATACTGGTGGGAACTGGTCTGGAATGGGAACAGAGCCATGGGAACTGATCTGGAACGAGCAAATTCCCAAAACACCCATTGGAACTGACCCCAAACTAGAAAACACCGGTCTGGAATCACTTTTACTCCTTGGAAGGAGCTGCCAAACACCCTCCAACTGCGGGTGTTGTTTTTTCCTCCCTGTGCAGAGGAGAAGCTGGAACCTCCTCAGGCCATGAACGCTCTGATGAAGCTGAACCAGCTCAAACCGGGGCTCCAGTACAAACTGGTGTCCCAGACCGGCCCCGTGCACGCTCCCATCTTCACCATGTCCGTGGAGATCGACGGCAGCACCTTCGAGGCCTCGGGGCCGTCCAAGAAAACGGCGAAGCTCCACGTGGCCGTGAAGGTGAGCACGGGAAAACCACCAGGAGCTCTGGGATGGGGTGGTGTTGGAGTCGGAGATACAGAGTGTGTGCCCTTGTTTCTAATATTTAGTTCTGGGGTTCAAGGAAACACTGAATTTCATATAACATGAAATTCACGGGCGTGTTTTCATGGTGATACGTGAAAACAAATGCTAAAGTTAGATAGGAAAAGTGTAAGTGTGTAGATTAGAAAGTTTTTTAAATCACTGGGTGAAAAAGTAGTTTAGAGAACAGGAGAGAAGATGGAGGATTTAGGGTGTTGTCTCTCGTCCTTCTTTCTTCTTCATGTTCTTCTCCTAGGGGTTTTTGGGTGGTAGTAGGTGATTGGGTAAAAAATACTGTAGTGCAGAGCAAAGGTGTTGGGTCATTGGGTCACTAAAAATATAAAAATATAAAAATAACTTAGTTGGCATCTGTTAATTGGGTAAATGGACATATAAAAGACCTTGAAGAAGATCTTTGTTAGCCATTTTACTCCTTTTCTATCATAGTGCACATAGCTCCTTGTACCTTGTAATGCTGATAAGAAAAAATAAACAACTGAGACCGAACGAGAGAAAACTGCCTCCCTCTCGTCAGTCTTCAGTTCAAAGGGAAAAAGAACCCAAATCCAAAAGTCCTTTAACTAGACAGGGTGGGAGCAGCGCCGGGAAGTTTGAGCGGGGATTCGGGAATGCCGAGCGCCGGAGAGAGTCGGCACAGCCCGGAGCAGCTTTCCTGAGGTGTTTTCCCGGAATGAAAGCGCGGCTCTGCTGCCCTCCAGGTGCTGCAGGACATGGGTTTGCCCACGGGAGTGGAAGGAAAAGACTCCGGGAAGGGCGATGAGTCGGCGGAGGAGACGGAGACGAAGCCGGTGGTGGTGGCTCCTCCGCCCGTGGTGGAAACGGTGTCGACGCCCACGGCGGCCTCGCCCACGGCGGATCAGACCCCCGAGGTGGGTGGGGGGACACAGGGAGGGGACACGGGGCAGGGGACACGTGGCAGTTGTGCTGGTGGTTGCTCCTGGCTGGAGCAGGAAGTGAGAGCGGCTCCTTGGGGGTCTCTTCCCGAAAAGTTTGGGAAGCGGCTCCTTGAGGGTCTCTCCCAAAAATTGGCTCCTTGAGGGTCTCCCCCAAAAAGTTTGGGAAGCAACTCCTTGAGGGTCTCTTCCAAAATGTTTGGGAAGTGGTTCCTTGAGGGTCTCTCCCAAAAAGTTTGGGAAGCAGCTCCTCGAGGGTCTCTCCCAAAAAGTGGCTTCCTGAGGGTCTGTTCCCAAAAAGTTTGGGAAGCAGCTCCTTGAGGGTCTCTCCCAAAAAGTGTGGGAAGCGGCTCGGTGTGCACTGGGGAATTTTGGGATTCATGCAGCCCTTCTGTGCCCTCAGAACGTGAAGCAGCAGGGACCAATCCTGACGAAACACGGGAAGAACCCGGTGATGGAGCTGAACGAGAAGCGGCGCGGGCTCAAGTACGAGCTGATCTCGGAGACGGGCGGGAGCCACGACAAGCGATTTGTCATGGAGGTGAGGGGACACGGAGCCTCCTGCCCTTCCCAGAGCTCCAGATCCCAATCCAAACCCTGACCCAGAGCTTGGAAAACCACCTCATCCCCTTCCCAGGAGTTTAAATCATCAAATCTAAGTGCTTTGGGTTGGGAAAAACCCAAATTAAATCTCATTTATGGGCAGGGACAGCCTGTGACAATTCCAGCTCTGGGATTCTCTGGAGCTCTCCAGTCTTTTCCTGACTTTTGGGTTGGGAAAAACATTCCAATCTCATTAATGGGCAGGGACAGCCTGTGACAATTCCAGCTCTGGGATTCCCCGGAGCTCTCCGATCTTTTCCTGACTTTTGGGTTGGGAGAAACAATTAAATCTCATTAATGGG